CGTGATTTCGTTTCCGTCATTCGATCTCGGCTTAATCTAAATTATTTTTTTGACTTGTGATTTCATCTCGATCATTCATCTTTGACCTCAAATTGATCTTGGTTACTTCATCTTTAGACTCGTAATTTTATCTCAATCATTCAATTTTGGCTCAGTCTAAATCATTCTTTGACTCACAGCTCAATCCTAGTCATTTTTGCATATTGAGTTAACTGTTGGAAAAAAGTGGGTGTTTAGGTCTTTGTATCACCCCTGTCTAACAAGAATATGCAAAGAAGTGTAACTGTAGACACCCATCTGTGTTCGGGGTCTATCTTGCCAATCTTATTTTTAATATAGTGTATTGTATTATATAATGATATTATTATAAGGTATATTAGATTATATTACTACTATATTATTATTATTATTATTGTTGTTGTTGTTGTTATTATATTGTTATTATTTTTATTCTCATTTCCTTTCTTTGCTTGATCTATAACAAAAATTATGAAAATAGAAATTGCAATTGAATCAGGGGGGTCAAAGGTTTTAATGTAGATTATAGAACTATTAATTTGATTTTGGACAAGTTAGCAAAAACCTAGCCTCAAATTATGCTCAGTAAAACCTAATTCTAATATTCAAGCCTGGATTGATTCTGTTCGTTTCCTAAAAAATCTCTTAAGGGTGCTTATAAATTGAACCAAAAATCATGAAAATAAAGGAGAAGTTGATTTTGACAAGGAAAGGCTTGGTATTTAAAATTTTTGGAAAAGCTTTCTGGGAGTTAGGTATTGAGATCTTGGTTTTGGAAATTCTGAGTTTGGTTTGAAATTTCTAGGAAAGATTTGGGATTTTTATTCTAGAGTGCGGGGATTAAGATTCTGAGATTTCTAGGTAAGAGTTTAGGTATTTTCTAAAAACATTTAGGGTTTTCTCGGTTTTTGGGATGAATGTTAAAGTTTCCAATTGAATTTCTCGACAAGGATTAAGTTTTTTGCCAGTTTCGATCAGATTTTTAGAAATTGATGGGCTTTGCTTAGTTTTATATTGAAATTCTTGAGTTGTACTTGATTTTTTTAAAGAGAATGAAGAGCATTTGGGGCTAGAAAGAGAGAGAGCAGAGGATTTTTGAAGAGAAAAGAGCAAATTTGGTATATATACAACCCAAAATGGCAACATTTTGGATAACCCAGGATCCGCACATAAACCGCTGACCCGTATGTCGACTCACGGGTGACTCGACACGAATCGCAGGTTTTTCTTTTTTCATTTTTATTTTATTTTTCGATTTCATTTTATTTTTTAATTATTTATTTAATTATCTTAAGTTTTTATTTTATTTTTAGTTTTTTATTTAATTTTACTGGTTTTTATTTTTAAAAAATCTTTTCTTTCTAGAAAACAAAAAAAGCAAAGAATAAAAAAATATAAAAAATAAAAAATAAAAACAAAAAACAAAAAAAAATCTTTTCAAATAAGTTTGAAAAACAAAGAAATAAAAAAATAAAAAAATTTCAAATAAATTTATGGAATCCATCAAATTATTGAAAATTTTCATAAATCAATTTTTTTAAAATAATAATAATAAAAAAATAATAATAAAAAGTAATAATAAATAAAAAACAAAATAAAAATATTTTATCCTCTAAACGATTAGAGGATTACTTTCTAAATTAAGTCTTACCAAACTATTGGGAGACTTAATGAAATCCTCAAAATTTTTATAAATATTTTTATATTAAAATCTTACCAAATTATTGGTATATCTGCTTTAAAGTAAGTCCTACCAAATTATTAGAAGACTTTAATGATTTTTTTTAAAAAAATATTAATAAATTCGATGATGAAACCTCTTCATGATGGGACACTAGTCTTCATGAATATTCTTAAGTTGAGAGAATTATCTTAAATTGTTACTAAACTATTGAGACAATTTTAAGATTAATTTTTAATATTTAATACTTTGATAAAAGCATAAATATTTTTTGGCTTAGATAATTTGAAATCAAACTAATACCATATTTGGATGGATGTTATGAAGGTGTTATAACCTTTCTTATCCGTTCATAGATCAAATTTGATCATATGATCAATCACACTTAAGTAAAAAAAATTATTTATGGTGATTCCTTTAATCTATATCTAGCGGTAGGTCTACGGATCTATCCGTTATAACAATCTTTGTTTTAGAGGGTAATTTAGTAAAAGAAAATCATTAGCTCAATTTTAACTAATTTTTACTTGCCATTTGATGTTTTCCCCAATTTCATAGTAATAGTAGTAAAGCTAAAAAATGGCTGGCATTTTACACATTTGTTCAAGCATTCCACCAGCTGGATGAATTTCCTAGTGCCTTCCAACTCCTGCTTCCCCTCCACCATGACATGACTACACATCATCAAGAACAATTCCCTCTTGCATTTCTTCCATTACGGTGGACTTTTCATCACTTTTATCACTAAAGACTATACATAGAGTACTCTTCTCGTTCTGATTAAAATTCCTTATAGGTAAAATTGAATTATTGATTTGCACCATCTCATAAGATATAAGTGCATAAATATGTGTATAAATAATGAATGAATTAGAAACTGAAACCTAACTCAATTGGCTCATTTGACTATTTTTAGATGGCATTTAACATGTATGACTTTAAATTTTAGTACTTACAATCATTTTTTTTATTTTCAGGCGTATTTAAGTTTTTTTTTTTTTTTTGTGTGCACTTATAACATATATAAACAAAATTGTAAACAAAATTTTGAAATAATATATTGCTATATTATTTCAGTTGTCCTCAAGTTTTCATATCTTAAAAAAAAGATATAATTACATCATTGCTTACTAAATACATCCTTCTCAATATATATACCTAAATAATCATTCAGCTAGAATAAAAAATTTTATTCTTCAAATCATTCTTTATCAAAGACACAACTGTAGGTGAATTTACTAATTCTATCAGTAAAAGAGGTATCTAAAGAAAAATTTTGGAGTATCCAAAAATATTTTTCCTTCAAATTTTATTGTTTTTTAATTTTTGGAGTGTCCATCGATACCTTACTTTAAGCATTATATCTGCGTCTATTATCAATCTATGAGATCCTATGTACCTAAAAACAAGAAATTAAGTAGCGTTCTCTTTAGTAAGTGCAAGACTATACAACAGAATTTTCAAATTCCAGATGCCTGAGTTTGAAATGTAGCAGGAGCAGCTGAGAAAAGCCATGCATATCAGCTCAAAAGAAGAAATAAAAAAAGCACTGAGAGTGACAACTGTCTTTCTTTGATTCACATTGAGCTTCGCATAAAATATTCTGATGTGTGTTAAAAACACAGTACAATTTCAAATCGTTGAATATGATTATAGCTGCAATCTTAATCTAACTTATATATTACAAATGCGTGTATCTATATATATATATATATATTCATGTTGGCATGGTCAAATCTTGGCATTCTTTGTGGTTTTCTTTAAGATATGTTTAAATGCTTTTGGAGTTATCCAGACGAGAAGCAAGATGAGATTGGATGGAAACAGGACTTTTGGGGGGTGGCTGAAGGTAGGGGCCACAACTTTGATCATCTATCAAAGCAGAGGAAAAATGAATTGAAACAAGCTGAAATCAATCAATCAACCAACCCAACCACCAAGCCAGTAGCCACCATAATATAATCTCCTCTAACATGGCCTCAATTTATTCCACATGTTAGGACACTCAAAATGCTTGATGACAGCATGCCTACTTTTGAAATTCTTCTCCTAGTGCAGGAAAGTAATTTGAAAAAAAAAAAGAATAAAGGAGTGGGAAATTGATTAGCATGAGAGATCTATGGGTAGACTGCTTCCACCAATGAAATATCAAGCTATAAAGACGTTGAAAAAACACCACAATCTGATACAGTTTCCAACATGTCCCCAAAGTTACAAAAAGTGGGGTCCAACAAGAACAAATGTTCAACACAATTGCTTTGATTATGCATACAATAATATTAATTGATGACTTGATTTTCCTGAAAACATACGCTTTCGGTATAAAATATAGGCTTTGTCTGCTCTAACAAGATTTACCCAGATCTCATCGAAGACCTTGCATTAGTATATTAGTATATATGCTTACATCATTGCCCACTCCTTTATATTCCTTTGTTTAGCAGCTACCCTCTCTTAATATTCTTATCCCCATTCCCAAAACATGGTTAATACAGAGAGATTATTTATTTTTTTTCTAAAAAAATAAAATAAAATACTTTTACATCTATTGATTTATATATTTATATTATATTTTACATAAAAATTATATGTTATAATTCATATCAATATAAATATATATAATTTGATTTTTATTAAACTCATAATTTTTATTAAAATTTTAAATCATCTCACATTTATTTATTTTTTTGTATTAATTTTTTATCATTATCACTCTTTCATGTTTTAAATTATTATGTCTAAGCTGTGTGTGTGAAGAAGATAATCGCATAGATGCTCCATCAAATGCCGAATTGTTTAGGCATTATTTCGAGACGTGGTGGATGGGGCTGGGCACCGATAACCCCATAGTCATCATATATTACAGTATTTTATGAGAAGCTTGGAGAGGTAGAGCAGATTATTAATTACATAATCAAGCCACTGACTGATTAGTTGGTTTAATAAAATAAAATTTTGGATTATGGGATTCAAGTACAGTGAGGATTGGGGATATATATATATATATATATATATATGTCTTGCAAAGTTAGAAGTCCTTCCTACCAGGAAGATTACGTCCCCTTCTTTCTTTGACTTTTGTAAATTAGAGTTAGTATAATAATATCTTTAATCCTCTCTTTGGGATGGAATATTTGTTTTAAATGTGCAAGTGGTCCTATAATTGATTGTCTTTATCTATTTAAAATTGGTTGCAGACCATAGAATTCCTCGTCAGAAAAAAAAGCACACTGAACGCTTTTTGATTAAGAAAGTTTGAGTGTATCCACTATAAAGTGGATGACAGGACAAACAGCCCAAAGTCATAGCTACATTTAGTGCTAAGCAAATTTTATTTTTCCTCGTTTCAGTAAAGATGGAAAAGGATGCCTACAGTCTTGTTTCTCAGACATGTGATGGCGAAAATGATTATTCTCAAGCTGGATCCTCTGTCGAGAAGAAGCTTAGATTGTTTGGGTTTGAGCTTATCCCGAGCAAGAACAATGAGAACTACCCAAACGGTTCTGCTGAAGGTGATGAAAGTGTAAATTCATCAAACACAGTTTCATCTTCGAGGGAGACTCCTACCAAGGAGAAAAGCTCGCCGGGAGAGACTGATGACAAGAAGAAGTTCGAGTGCCAATATTGCTTCAAGGAATTCGCAAACTCACAGGCGCTTGGAGGTCACCAAAATGCTCACAAGAAAGAGAGAATGAAGAAGAAAAGGTTGCAGCTTCAAGCAAAGAGAGCTAGCATCAACTGTTACCTTCAGCCTTTCCAAAACAGCCTTGGTTTCAGCTTCCAAGGCTCCTCTCCATGGTGTTATGATTCTCCCTGCAGTTACACTGCTCCTGATTTCACTCTTTACGAGGAATCTCAAATTAGTTTCAACCAATACGAGCAAGCTGATGCACATCTCAACGGCTCCCAGGTATCAAAATTGTATACTCTGCCATCTCAAATGATCCCTTTCCAACAAGATTCATCCATGTTCACGCTAACACACGCTGACAGATCGAGAGAAAACATGCCTGCTAGAATCAAACCTTCCTCTTTGACTTCATCAAAGCAAAGCTGTAAATCCTTGGATCTTCAATTGGGCCTCAGCTTGCAATCTACAATACAGAGTTCCTCTGGAAGTGGTCTGTAGACGCATATACATAAATCAAAGTGAAGATAATTACAGTGCCATGTCTTCTCCAATGATTTGAATTCCTTCAACCTTTCAACAAATCCAAAAATAAAGGCGTATCAAAATTCGTTACACTCAGGCTGGAAAACTTCAGCAACAGCTACATTGAAACTCAAAAAAGAAACCAAAATTCAATCATTGACAGAGTATACAATTATTGACGATGAAATGTCATACACATTTACTCTTAAGATCACATGTAATGAAGCAGAGAGCTACGGTTTCGATATAGATCTGTAGATGCTTGATCATCCTTTTCGGGCTGTCAAAATTCAAAGAAGAACAGGAAACCAAGATTTTCTTCATTTTTGTTGATAGCTGTCTATTTTATACAGTAATTTTGCTCCATTTTTTTTTTTTAGAATTTCATAGTTAAAGTTGTTCATCTTTCATCTATTGAACGAAACCCATCAAATTTCAGATTGCCACTGTCTGGACGAATAGCCATTATTAGTAGATAATTGAATTGTATAGTATATCTTAAAGTCATTAGATTTTTTATATGAATTTATATTTGATATACTATTAATATAATATTTTAATTCTACAAGTAAGATTAAGATATTATCATATATTTTATTTTTAATATATTTTAATGGTTAGATTTTTTATATGGGTTTACATTTAATACACTATTAATATACTATTTTAACTCTATAAACAGAATTAAGATATTATCATATACCTTATTTTTTATTTTTAATATATATTAAGAATATATGTCACCTTACTAATTTTATTTATGAAATTTAAAACTTTCATTGACAGCTAATTATATAAATTTTTTTCTTTTATATTATAAGGTGAACAGGTTGTTAATGAATGATAATCTACTATTTCATTGATAATTTGATTTCCGTCCAATAATTATCTAGTACATTTTTTATAATTTTATATACTTTCATTTGGTTTAATCGGTCCGAGAATAAGATTTTTTTTTGTTTAATTTCAAGAATGTATGATTATTTAATGATATATTTTATTAAATTATCCTCTAAAATAAAAAATTAAATATCTGTCTGAAAATGATTTCATAATTTAATTAGATCACTTGTAACATATACAAGAACATTTTATTGAAAATATATTTTATTTTCCCTCTTAAGAATCATTTGATTGAAGAAAAAATTAGTTAAATGTACTTAAAAAATGAAAAAAATAATAACTTCAAAGTAAATAAAAAAATGCTAGGCTCAATCCGAAAAAAATACCTATATTCTAATACTCTCAATTTTGTGAAACCATGTCATCAATTTTTGCATCTTAAAATCGGATACTTGTTATCACAAGTTAGCTAATATTTTTGATGGGATTACGAGAGTAAAGAGCCAAACATTTTTAAAACTTTTCAAATATCAACTTACTGCACGCAGTGCATTGCACCAATAAAGAGTGGGAATAATAAATACTGTACACGTAGGGTTTACCCTTATTTAAAATATTGAGAAATAATTATAACTTTGGAATAAAATTTAATACTGATCATTCGAAGAGGAAAAAGTAACGAGACCAAAATTTGATTCAAAACATTTCTAATATCATACACTTGATTAGATAGTTTTAAATGTTATATGATAAAACATTACAGAAAAATATACAAAACTAATATATTTCAAAATTTTAATAAAATATATAGATAAAAATACAAAATATATATAATTTATATTTTTTATGTCCATGTAAATTATAATACGATAATTTTTATATTTTATACATTAAATAAAAAATAAACATATGAGAATAAATATCTCATTTTTTTAATTAATTTTTTTAGTATATTTAAAGGGTATTTATTAGTCAAGGATAGTAACAAATGGGTTGAAGTGGGTTTTTATTCGACCCAATCTCTTAATATTCACACCCAATCTAACTTGATATCAAAACATTTTTTTTTTTACTCGACTTGAACTTGATTTGTATATTCATAACCACAATTGACCCAACCCGACCTTAAATAAATTTAATAATTTTAATTTAGTATAATATTCAATAATATTATTTTTAATATAAATTATATCTTAATTATATATAAATATATTATTTTATTAAATTAATATCTTAAATTAAAATATTAAATAATAATTTTATAAACATCATATATAATAAATATAAAATTAAATAAAAAAATATTTTTATATATATACAAATTGAGGCAATACAACCTAAAACCCAACTCTGACTTTAAGAAAATTTCGATCTACCTTCGACTCAACCTCCAATTTCAAAAACATCTGATCATATTAAATTAAGATGGATCAAAATTCATTAAGTAAGGATTATTTTGCTATCTTTACGTGTCATCTTATTAATCTTGTTTACAGAATCTAAAATTTTTACTGTTAATGTATCTCATAATTTATTTTACAAAAAAAAGCTTTAATATTTGGCAAGTTTGTACTTTTGAGTTCATTTGTTGGGCTCACTTTCTTTTTTGTAATAATAAAAACAGCTCAATTTCTTATTTTTTATTTAATAATATATAGTGACAAATTGAGTTTAAAAAAAATCAACAATTAAACAAAAATGTTCAAGTTAACCAAAAAAAAAACAATATATTTAATTTTTTATTTAATAAATATTTTAAATATTTTTTAGGTAAATTAATTGTGAAGAAATTTGAATTAAATCTTAAAAGCATTACTTGAAAAAAATATGGTTGATGTTTTTTCTTAAAAAAAAGAAAATTCAACGAAAGGCTATTTTAATCTTTGAGGAAGACCAGTCAAATTACACTCCACAAAAAAAAAAAAAAAAAAAAAGCATTGGCTATTGAAAAGTTTTTGACTATCTAAATAAATAACCGATTTTTAACTATAAAAGTTGAATGGCTTAGGTTCACAAAATGAGTGCTGCTAAATGATTTCAGTCTTTTTTTTTTTTTCACACTTTAATTTTTTAAAATATTTTGTAAATAAAATTATTTAATTATCTTTTTTCTTTCACACTAGTTTCTGAAAATGAATTTAAGAAAAGTCATAAACTTTTTCAAAAACAGATTTCTAAAAAATCATATAACTTTTTAGAAAAAAAATTTTGAAAAATTATAAATCTTTTCAAAAATGAATTTTCAAAAAGTTAAAATTTTGAAAAGGTTTATAACTTTTCGAAAATTCAATTACAAAAAATTATAAATTTCAAAAAAATTATGAAAAAAAAATTAAGTAATTTCACTTATAAAATTTTTTTTAAAAATTTTAATATGTGAAGAGAAATTATAGGGTTATATTTAGCAACACTCTTACAAAATTTAGAGTGTTGGAATCCGGGTGTCTTTTCGACTACCCCTAGTATTCCCATAAATAAATAAATAGTTAACTGTTTTTTTTTTTCTTTGCACCAAAAAGATACCAACTTTTTTTATACATAATTTTTTTATATTACATACACTAATAAATGAATATTTTTAATTACTAATAAATGAATTTGTAGTTTTTTTTTTTTTTTTTGGATTACATACTCCATATTCTCCAAGTTCACCTCTCCATATGCTCCATAACCACTAGCTCGACCCCAGAAGCACTACTTCATTTGTAACCACCACAACCAAATTTGCCTCCTTCATGCCTCCAAATTCACCATCATATGCAGTTCTAGAATCATTATAGGTCTAATTGAACGAACATGAAATTAATTTTGATAAAATTAAAAATAATGATGATAATAAAATTAAATGAGATTAGATATGGTAATGGTAAGATTATAATTGATGGTGAAGATATATATTTAGATATAAATATAATGATAATAATGAGATTGGATATAACGGTCGATTACCTCACAAAATGCAATCAATTGCCATAATTGAAAAATGTTTTCATTTTTCATTTCTACACTAAGGTAGTTGAATGCCTTAGGGTCTAGTGGCTCACTGGATCTTCCCTCTCCAGTTTCCGGCATCAAGGCCTACTACATCATTAGGTGCTACTCAAATGCACCGCACAAAATGACCTCAAAAAAAAAAAGGGGCTGCATTTCATGCATAGAAGGTGCAATGGAATCCAAACCAACCATATAATATGTTTTTGGATATATGGTGAGATCAGTTCTAATAAAATTGAAAATAATGATAATGATGAGATTGAATATTATAACAATAAAAATAAAATTAATGATAAATTAATATTTGATATAAATACACTTAATATAAAATTGAGTATGGTAACAACTCAATACACCAAGAAATTAACTTCATATGAAAAATCTCTATATAAATTTTTCAAAATTTCAATTTAAACTTTTATCTTATGACTTCTTAGGATCATTAAATGAAAATTGGATTCTTTCACTTTAATAAGAGATTAAGGAATTAGATTTTTCACCCTTATTGCATGAGATTTATATTATCAAGAATGGGTAACGATCATTGTGCAAAAAATTGATTCCATACAGAAGGGTAGATAGAAATCAAATTAAAGAGCGTAATAAAATTTTTTAGGAATGAGTTGTCTTCCTAGTTCTTTCGCAACTGTTCATTCCAAATTGTTTTAGCTTTTGAAGTTAATTGCTTAATTTCAGATTATGACTGTCTCCCAAATCTCATACAATTAATTATATATAATTAGACGGTATCAGATTATTTGCTTGGCGTGAATGACTTGCTGATAAGTTTGACTAATGCATTGACAACTTACGGTTCAAATTAAAAGTTCAATACTACAAACAATCTCTCTTGTTTTTTTTTTTCATTTGCTCGTTTCATTTGATTTGATTTGATGTTTGTTTCTATAAATTGGACTTAATTATGATTGCGACATGTTGATGGCTAAGTCACAAAAGTGGCACAACCAGATAAAAATTTCAATGGGATTATATACCAACTCAATTTCAAATTTTAAATTTACAAAAAAATAAATAACAAATTATTTCATTATTCTAGAAAATATTACTATAATGAAATGCTTTTTCACGACTATATATGATTTAATTATTCAAGAATTGTTTAAATTAAGCTCAGTATCGTTTCATTTTAACGTTTGTTCTTTATCTTCAGCAGCTTCTAAAAGTAAAAAAGAAAAAGATATGTTTAAAGACAAAAATGAATTATTAATATTATTGAATAAGTAAAAGTTAAGATTAATCTTTGTAGGGTAATATATAAAATGTTTGATTTACTTTTACGGAGAGTAGTTGTATTTGACTATATGCCACATTTGACATTGTTAATCAAAATGCTCTTATTAACATATGATCATATTAAACCGAAGAAAATACATATGATCATATTTGTAGTACAAATATAAAGCATTTTAAAGATTTTTAAGATTATTAACATTGTCATTTACTTATATTGACCCCATCTCTTTAGTTTTTTAATTAATTTCAGTGGGGGTA